GGGGGGGGCGTTGTGTGTGTTGCTGGGGATGGATGCGTCTGTGCGTACGATATTAGGGTGGTATATCTTGGTGAGGAATCGGACTTTGGGCGGCTCCATGGGGTAGCCCTCGGGCAGGAAAAGCTCCAAATGATACAAACCATCTGCACACACACACACACACAGAGAGATACATACAACAAACAGAACAGTCGACGCCACCCAAAGACGCGTCAAGTCCTAGTGCGCCCTTGGTTCCATCTGTCTGTCTGTCTGTCTTTCTGTGGCCACCCATCCACCCATGCACGAGTGCCTGCCAGTCCCCCTCCCTCCCTCCCTCCCTATGTGTATGCGTGTCCACCCTTTCACTCACCTTGGTATGGGGTGCCCTCGGGTCCCTCCATCAGCACCTTGAAGTAGCGGTAGTTACCCGAGTCGGGCTGCGCATTGATACCGGGAGCTGACACACAACACACACACAGCCGCGGTACAACCAACACACACCACAGGAAGAGTACGCGACTGCCTGTCTGGTGTGGCTGCTTACGAGGCTCCTGGCTGAGTTTGAGGGTCTCCTTCTCGATGCGCTTGGGAATGCCCGCCTGCTGCGCCATCGCACCACCAACCGCCGATACAATGCGTCTACTCTACGCCAACAACGAGCCCACGAGCACGCCCGAAGACAGCACGATCTGCACGCAGACAACACAGCCAGCCGGGTTCACACACCATTCTAACACGTGCGTCTGGTCATGCAGCGACGCAAGAGGCGGGCCGTCGTCCGCATCACGGCCCGGCCTTGCTCTCTGGGTGAAAAGAGGTTGTTTGCTGGCTGCTGCTGACCTGCGCTATGTGCTGCGTGGCAGATCTCGGTCCCTCTGTCCGTCTGCCCTCGTCGCGCTCGCCGATTCTCGAACTCGGCGAAATGGGGAGGTGGATTCCGTGAAACGAATATGCGAGCTTGGGTACCAAAACCTCAGCTCCTGTTTGACTTTCCACTTTGGTTATACACCGGCACAGCAGCGACAGCAGCAGCGACATCAGCACAGCAGCGCAGCAATGCACTCTTGCAGGGAGGACTGGCCAACTATGGTCAAGGTAGACCGCAGGTGTTGTACCGAAACGTACCTTGAAACCTTGCTCCCTCCGAACCCTGGGGTTCTTCGGTCGCAAGGTTTGAAGGTACGTTTCGCTGTCTCACAAGGCAGCGTAGTAGTAGCTCCAAGAAACGTGGGCACATTCGGCCGCCAGGGGGCAGCGCATGACGGGCAGCATCGTTGTGTGCCGGGCAGCAGATGTGTCTGTGTGCACGTGGTCGCATCATTGTTTGTTCGTGCAAGTGCGCGTGTGTGCGTCTGAGTGTCTGCATGGCGCGACGAATACCAAACATCTCGACCATCCTGGCCAATGTTTACGAATCAGATCACGGAGCTTGATCTCGCATTTCTACTAGTTTCGGCCTCGACGATGACGCCCAAAGCCCTTGTGCTCGTGCTGTGTGCGTTCGCCACCTTCACGGCCACGAAAACCCACCAATACGGTAAGTGGGCAGCACCCAGGTCTATACGGGCGCGGGAGGGACGTAGAAAGAGAGCTCAGGAGCAAGAAAAGGCGCCATATCCAGCCAGGGGGGGGGGGGGGGGGG